CAACATAGAATCAAAGTGCTGTCTTGTGAATCTCTGCTCATTTCCTAGACACCTTCTGTTTCCTGAAGCAGACCCCGCCCCAGTGGCATGGGAAGGTGAGCCAGGTCAGCCGCCCGCTTCTGCTGCTCCCTCATAGGCTCGCTCTTTGGCCCGCCTGGGGGCACAAGCTCCTGCGTGATCTCGACTGGCTTTTCTGTGATTTGCAGAAACCTGAAAACCATCACATCATTTGACTTTGGGATATGATTAAAATTACGCAGGGACAAATGACTGAAAGGACACAGGGCCGGCGTGGGTCAGACCCTCACATCTGGGGCCAGCCTTGGACAAGCCCTTTTTGGAGAATTTGAACTTCAAAAACTTGGTGAACATGAGACTTCATGTCAGTCTAAGGAGACCAGGGATGGCATGTCCACCTAGTTCACAACCATGTCCTTGTACCGGGGGTTCAGTCCGAACCCACTTGTATAACCTGTTACCTGTGTGTTGTATGGAGATTCTATGTATGTACCACATGGCAAACACCTGCAACACAAATTCTGTGTAACACAGAGATGTACGAATATACAAGCATCCATTCTATGCATAGGAAATGTAGTGTAAATCATCAAAACACCGTTCAGAGGCACACGGAGAGTCACATAGCATTATGTGGCCCACGACCTTCCCTCTCTGTGAACAACAGGGAGGGTGTCTGGGATTCAGCAGAAGGCTGTGGATGATGTCAGCAGCTTAGTACATCTGAAAGGCTCTGGAGCCCAAAGCGGACAAGGCACGTTGTCTACACTGAAATGGGGTGGTGATTTCTCGGGCCCCCTCTGTAAGAGACGTCCACACTGGGCAGGCTGTTGGTCAAAGTACGGTAGCTCTCCCGAGGCACAGCTCTCGAGGGGCCCCTGTGGAAGCGATGCATGCAATAAATAACACAGCCGCAGAGCAGGGCGCACAGAGACGATCACTTGCAGAAGATCCCATTCTGAAGCGCTGCGTTCTTGTCCATGATGCAGGATGAGGGGGCTGTGTGGGGCAGGTCTTCCTTGACCTTCGGAGAGTGGGTGCTGTTGTTGCTGCTACTTGATTTACTTCTGCTTGGGTCGAGCGCAGGCTGGATGGGGGAGGCGCGGGCCCCCCGTCCCCTGACCAGGCAGTTGCAGACCAGACGGAAGAAGGCCCTCCGCATCTCCTTGCTGGCCAGCGTGTAGATGACCGGGTTCATGGCCGAGTTGAGCACAGCCAGCACGATGAACCACTGAGCCTTGAAGAGGACGGGGCACGCCTGCACCCTGCAGGCCACATCGATGAGGAAGAGGATGAAGAGTGGAGACCAGCAGGCAATGAACACGCTCACCACAATCACCACGGTCCGCAGCAGTGCCATGGACCGCTCTGAGTTGTTGTGGTTGGCCACCTTACGGCTGCTGGACTTCACCAGGAAGTAGATGCGTGCGTAGAGGATCACGATGGTCACCAGAATGGCCGTGAAGATGCTGATGCAGAAGGCGATGTACTTCTTGGAGTAGAGGGGCAGGATGGTAGAGCAGTCCGGGAGATTGTGCAGGCAGTTCCAGCCCAGAATGGGCAGGGCGCCCAGCGTGAAGGCAATGAGCCAGCACATCCCGATCAAGAGGAAGACGCGGTGCTTCTTGTTGGCGTCGTAAGGCCTCATTTTGATCATCGTCAAGTGCCGCTCGATGGCGATGGCCAGTAAGCTGCAGGTGGACGCCCCGAGGGCCACGAACATACTGCCCTCTCTGAGGAACCAGACCGTGGGAGACAGGCTGAACGTCTTCTTGCCGGACATCAGAATGTTGACCTTGTAGGCGATGCCGGCCAGCAGGTCGCAGAGAGCCAGGTTGCCAATGAAAAAGTACATGCGGTTGTGAAATTTATTGTTTTTCCAGATGGCAATCAAAACCATCAGGTTCTCTAAGACGATGAAGCTGCAGATGACCAAGAAGAGCACGGTGGTGAGCGTGCCGGCCTCGGAGGCCTCCTTCAGCCTGCCCGCCAGCTTCCCCACGTACTGGTAATGCTCCCGCAGGGTCTCATTCCCCCGCGCAGGCTGGAGACGCGGCGGGAGGGCAGTTGCCATCACTCGGCATTCACAGACGGTTAGCTCCAAAATCCACCAGAGGGCGCTCGAGGAACATTCATTTCAGAGGGAAGCAGGGCTGAGGCTCTGGCTTCTTTCAGCAAAGCGTGCAGGCCAGACTCCAGCGAGGGCGTTGAAAACGGGCTCCTGCCAACAGATAAAAAGAGGGAGCGACCCTTGATAAAACGATCGCCGCCTAAGGGGCCACGGCAACGCTGTTGGAGAAAGGCATGAAAAATGTGGAAGTATGGGGATGGCTGGCCACATCAGGCTGCACAGAGGGTCTTTAGACACAGGCTAAGTTCCTAAGTGATTGGGGGAGACCATGGGAAGCGATTTGGTGTCTGGAGTTGCCGGGAAGGGAAATTCAGAGCATGAATTATTGAATCCTGTAACAAAGATACACAGACCCAAATACAGTTTCCATCTGGAAATCTCCAGGCACTAGAAAATGCTAACTAGTCCTCATCTAGGGCACGGGAGCTGGTGACCCATTATCCCAGTTACCCAGGGAAAAGCAGGATTTTCTCAGGACCTAAAAGCAGGATGGAATCTGAATGATGCCTGCTCAATTTCCAAGACCTCCCTGGTGAGTTTCACAGTGGTATCGTGGGAAGCTCCCTCCCTTCCCAGATGGTGTCCCCTGGATCCAGGCCCAGAAATCAGGTCTGAATGGGCTGTAGGTTGGCCTGGCAGAGAGCCCTGAGGCCTGACCATGCGGTCATCGAGGGACCAACAGTACAAGTCTGGGCAGTGCCCATGCAGACACCACACTGGTGAGCAGTGGGTCCAGGGCCCAGCGAAGAAGGAATATCAACCTGCAAAAACGGGACCTAAGTCTACAGAGGATAAAGGAAGGACAGGAAAGCAGTGACAATCACACTCACTGAGTCTGCCTTGAAATTCAGAGCCCTGAATATCAGATAGAACTACGTGGGAGCATGTGAAGCAACAGAAGCGGCACATTTGGGAGCACTGCAAGAGAGAGAAAGTGGTAAGCAAATGCCTCGATGAGTTCTGAATACCAAACTCTTCTCCCACCAGACCTCAAACATTTGCACTCAACCACACTGGTAACAGGTAATATCAATCAGCCTTCTGTGATGTCGATGACGCCACATACCCAACTATCAAGGTAGAAACCGCTTTCAGTGGATTCATTTATTTTATTTTTTATTTTTATTAAAAAAAATTTTTTTTTTGAGACGGAGTCTTGCTCTGTCGCCCAGGCTGGAGTGCAATGGTGCAATCTCGGCTCACTGCAACCTCCCCCTTCCGGGTTCAAGTGATTCTGCTGCCTCAGTCTCCTAAGTAGCTGGGATTACAGGCACCCGCCACCATGCCTGGCTAATTTTTGTATTTTTAGTAGAGACGGGGTTTCACCATGTTGGCCAGGCTGGTCTCAAACTCCTGACCTCAAGGGATCAGCCTGCCTCAGCCTCCCGAAGTGCTGGGATTAAAGCGTGAGCCACCGCGCCCGGCCATCATCTATTATTTGAGTATTTAAATATCGAATTAAGTTCAAATGAGGGTAATTTAAAAGAGCCCACTGTGTGTATCCAGTGAATTTTTTTCTGTAACTTTTACAACGTTTGAACCACAGCCCTAAATTTGCTTCAGAGACACATGAACCACTCACCAATACTATGGGCTCTGCATTTTAGGGTGTGATAGACTGAATCTCATCCACCCATGAGTTTATTCCCAGGTACAGATCAGTCCCTTGAAGATCTGGGGCTTGCCTGGTTGGGGCTGAGAAGCAGAGGTGGCTCCAGATGGTGTCTGTATCCTCGTGACCTTCCGGAGTGGCGGATGCTGTCAAAGTCCTCTCTCTACATCAGTTTGGGGGGCCTGGATTTTCTGAGATGGCCCCTTGCTTCTTTGCAAAGATTTTTTCCAGTGTCCTGGAGCTTGGAGGTGTTAGTTGTTCTGGAGACCACAGGGGTAGAGGGCTGGTGGGGGGTGGGATGTCCGAGCTGACGTCTGTGCTCTGCCTGGAACTGCCCGACCCTTCCCAGCTGCCGCCTCCTGAAGTCACAGAGGCCTTGGGTCGAGGTCAGCTGGAATGCCAAGTGCTGGCAGAAAGGCTTATTGTTGGTCAAGGCCCTCTGCTCACTGCAGAAAGAAAAAGCAGCCAAGTTCCAAGTCCAGGCTGATGATGCAGGACGAGAGGGGGTTGCCTGCCCAGATCGCTCCCATCACTCATGAGCCATGACAGGCAGTGCAGGGCCCTGGGCCTGCCTCCCTGAGCCCCAAGCGTGGCTCATCCACGCCAGCGCTACTTGGCTCCCCATTCACCTGAGAAGAGACCATGTCTCACCTGTAGGTTCTCCTGGAGGTGAACAGGACAGTCCAGTGGGCAGCCTTCCCCCCAGCCCCTCCCTCTCTACCCTTTCTGATTTTTATTTAAATATTGCCCATCCTTCAAACCTCAAGTCAAATTCCACTTGCTCTGTAACATTTTCTGGAATCATCCCAGCCCTGGTGACTTTTCTCTGATGCTGCATGCCACTTTTGAAAAAGCACTGCAAACTGCCTCTTTCAATGGGACAATACCACAGGCAGCAGCATTTTCTGAGCATCGAGCTTCTCCATTCACACAGGGGCCTTCCACCCAGGGTAAGTCCACAGTACCCTCCCCAGCGTCCTGTACAATGACAGGTGCTAAAAAGATACTGTCCCTTTAGTTTTTGTTTGTTTGTTGTTTGTTTGTTTTGTTTTGTTTTGGGGATGGAGTCTCATTCTGTCACCCAGGCTGGAGTGCAGTGGCGCGATCCCGGCTCACCAAACCCTCCACCTCACCACACCCTCCGCCTCCCAGGTTCAAGCGATTCACCATGTTGGCCAGGCTGGTCTTGAACTCCTGACCTCTAGTGATCTGCCTGCCTTGGCCTCCCAAAGTGCTGGGGTTACAGGTGTGAGCCACCGCACCGGGCCTAGTATTGTTTATGATTTCTTTCTTTCTTTGTCTGTGAGCAGGGACTGGAGAATCACTATTTCTGATTTTCACTTTGCTGGGTTTCCACCCTGATCAGGGGCCTCTCGGGGACACATGTGCTGTGCCCGGCATGCACCCTGGCATGAAGCCGGGTATGAGGACAACCTGGGCCCTCAGGCTGTCTCCTGCCACCTCCAGTACCATTGCACAGTGCTGAGGGGGGCCACGAGGGCTCTGCCGTTTCCCACATGAACAGTCACTCATGCTCATGGAAAAGGCATGGAGCAAAGGCAGTCTGTGGGCAGTGCCCTGTGCCAGCATCCTCCCTCCCATAGCAGCTGGGGCCAGAGCCGTCACCATGCTGCCAAACAGATGACCTGCCCGGCTCACACTGCAACGAGGGGGCCTTCACCTGGCAGACAGACAGCTGTCCATGACACCACAGTGTCCTGGTTTATCCCACAGCATCGCCGGGATACCCACTCCAGTATGTGGGGCTTCTGAGACAGAAACTGACAAGCTGCAGACAAACCTTGGTTCCAATCAGTGATGCCTGAGGCCCCTTGTCCCCAGCTCAGGTAGGGATTCAAGCACAGCTCCATGTTCCTCATCCTTTTAGGTAACACTGGCATATTGTTATAATTCAGACTGTTCTTGTACTACCTCAGCTTGCCTCCTGTGCCTCAGTTTCCCCCATGACAACCTGACCCTACCATTTTTACTTGTCCTGTCTCCTCTGAACCTTCTCCACACCTTTGCTTCTGCCATGCATCCAACAGCCAGATCTGGACTTGCTCCCAGGAGTGGAGAGGAGAGGCTGAGCAGACCCACCGCTCCACAGGCTCATACACAATTGAGCAGAGCAGAAAACAAGCAAACAATTAAAGACAATAACCAGCAATAAAATAACCCCAATAAACATAGTATAAGATTTGCCAGAGACCCATCAAAACTATGAATCTTGAGGGCAAACATATTTTCCCATTAATGTTCGATTTATCATTTCCCTTATAATTAAATATTCATCCCTCAAGAAGCATATTTGTCCAGAACATCTTTTGTTAAATATGATTCTCCGCATTTTGCCTAAGTGGAAGATATCTGGCGTCTTTAGAATCTAAAAGCTCATTTTCTCTGGATTATCAACATTTACAAAGCGGGCCTCATCCCAAGAGTTAAGTGCTGGGCTAAAGGCCAGATTGATTTTGGATGTATCTACACATTATTGTGCACGGTTAAAAGCATCTCATGGACAAGAGTTCCCCTCCGCTCCTGAGGGGTACCAGCCACAGACCTCAAGTTTGCTGGAAGAAAGCTCGAAGCCCACCCAGGCCTGAGGCTCCTGGAGTCAGCGAGCCCTACTCAGGGCAAGAGGGGAGACAGCCACTCTGGAGGATTGGTACTAACACTGCCAGGGACTGCAGGAGTGCTGGGCACTGCGGGCACCGGCAGGCCTGGGACGCTGCCTGCCCCACCACACAGAGATCAGTGAGACCAGTACCCAGGCCAGCAAGAGGATGGGCTGGACCCTGCAGCCTTCCTTGTGCCCCTCCTAGTCACCACCTGTCCCCAAGCATCACCACTACCTGGGCTAGGACTCTCCCCTAGGTGAGTTTAGCCTGCTTCTGACCTTCACATGAATGAAACCCTGCAGGATACAATTGTGTCCATTGCTTTCCTCTCCCCACGATGCTTGTACGAGTCCTGCACATAGATGCACCTGCATGCTGAATATTCCTTCTTGCTCTCATGGTGTGGGCAGATACACTACCCTCTATTCATTCTTGTTTATGGACATGGGGTAATTTCTTCCGTGGCCCATGTGTTGATTATCATCAGGTGGCACTGCTGGGATTGATTGAGGATGTTCTCTTGGCGAACACATGTCCATGTTTCTGCAGGGCCGATGTTGATTTGTGAGCGGTGTGTTGGTGTCCGGGATGGGCTTTAACCATGACTTGGAGGCACTGGGCTTCCCAGACCCCAGCCAGCTCATCTTGCAAAACTGGTGTGGGGAGGAGGGGTGGCCCCCAACAGAGGGCAAGACTGATGCAGTATTAGTGTTCACTCTTTGCTGTATTCCAAAAGCAAGTGTCCAGAGCTGGCAGTGACGTTGTAAATTTGATGACGGCTTAAATTCCACCTGAACACTTAGAAATAAAGCCAGATGCGGAGACGTGTGGCTCTCTGCAGACTAGTTTTGTATATATTCAGAAAGCTGGGCACGTTACGGAAGACACAGGAGTACGGACAGCTGCAGAGCAGAGACGCTCCTCCTCATTAGCGGTGGTCTCTAACCGATACAGACACTGACGCTGGGCTGCTCCCACTGCCCACCTCCGCGGCACACCCTTGCCCAGACGTTCCACTCTTTTCCAAGTGCTGCACTAACACATCTCCCTGACCGACTGGACAGACCCTGCCCACCGCCCAGCTCTTCAAGGTACTTAAGTATTTGATTGTCTGCATCTTCAGTCTTTCCATGTTTACTGAGAGACACTGCTCACATCTCAGCTTCCCTCAGTTCTACTCAATAAACAGCTCATTCGCTAAGAGTTTTCATGTCATCCTCACTAAGCTGGGATCATCCAGCCTACCTCAAAGCATTTTAATACCAACACTTTTTTTTTCTTGTAGAGAAGGAATAAGACGCCTTCAGAAGATGAGTCTGCAGTGAATGACCCCAAATTAGACCCTACCAAGGTCAGAGGTGCCTACCTTCCCCCCATTTTCAAGGAGAAGCATCGCTAGGGGGAGGGTGAGCCAGAGAGAGGAGGCCGGATGGATTCCAGATGTGCTTTCTATACTAGCGATTTGTTGTCTCTACCCATGTCAAGTTGAAAAATAAGCAAACTATAAAAGAAAGAAAAAGAGAAAAAATAAAGAAAATATTTCCACAGTCTGATCTCCTTCCCAACACCCCCCTTTCTCTCTCTGCATAAAAGAAAAGCACAATAAGACAGTAAGATATTTCTCTCGGTCAGATGCAGGATGCTATATTTTTAATAGACATGTACTCCCAGGGAAATTAACTAGCTCATCCTCCAAACTGAATTAAAACACCAAACATATGCCAATAAACAAAATTTCTTGGAAAGCAAGATTTTTTTTAAAATTTCATTTAAAATAACTTAAAAAGGAAATGAGTTGGCCGTTTCACAGCTCCAGCAAAACTTCTTTGCTAATGAGTATTTTCCCTTGCTCTGGATTTCTTGGGTGACCTCACTCTGCTTTTGGAGATAGTCCATTGCAAAATGCATGCTTCACACACCCAGCTGCACACGCTTGGCCCATGAATGCAGCTCCCCTGAGAAATAACAACTCTTACAGACAAATCAGGTGAGGGCTTCGTGTCTTTTCTCCCTTCTCTTCTTCAAAGCGTGCAAGTCAGTGCACTTCCCTGGTTAGACTTACCGCTTCCTGGTGGCTTTTCCCCAAGTCCTTCTCCATCACAAACAAGGCTGGCACATTATGAGCTATCTGGGCATAGTCCAGAGAACCCCAGATATGGAGGCGGTGCCCCAGGAAACTCAGGCCCCGACCCTGAGCTTCTGCCTCCGTGAACACTTTCCTAAGCTTCCAGACTTGTGTGTGGGAAGGCAAGTGCATCTGATCCAGGAGGTGGCTGACCCCTTTGCCTGTCCATGAGTGTTTTTAAACCTTCTCCCTTCTGCTGCTTCTTCATGACGGCATAGGATAAATGACTCTCAAGATTTCCACAGGGATGAATCCACAGGGATGTGGAAATAGGCTCTGTGAGAGGGCTGAAGGTACATTCAAATAAGAGCCATCCTGCCCAAGAAGTCAACCTGAGATCCTTCCTATCCCTTCCCAAAGGGGCAGTCTCACCTGGTAACTCGGCATGTGTGCCACCTTGCACCATGGACATAGCACACATGGCCCCACAGCAGCATCTGCCTTCTGAATGTACACAAGAGAATACCAACACTGTGGGAGGCGGGGGGCTCACTTGTCCTTAGTCACAGAGCTTAGAAGAGGCTGGGCTGGGCTGGTGTCCGTGCCATCTGATTCCAGGATGTCACATTAGGGATGAGCTCTTTGGGAGGCTGCCACCTTGCCACTGGTTCTTTGCCTAGGTGGTGACAAGAGATTCTCTGGCAAGTTTTAGAGACAAACTGCCTTGTGCTTCCATGCCAGCAGAATGTTAGAATGTCATTCTAGGGGCACTGAAATATCTGGAAAATTTTGAAGCCAGGAAAATGGAGCGGCATCTGCAGGCCAAAGAGCACCACCCATTGCTTGAGGAGCGGGTCCTCGCCTCGCTGTGGGAGCTGACCCCAGCCCAGCCTGTGGCGCAGTGAAGAACCACTCACTGCGCACCAATTTGCACTGGACAATCTCATCACTGATTTGACCCAACTGGCCTATCGTCTGTTAGAGACACAGCTTCAATTCCTCAAAAATAGGATTCAAAAAAGGGAAGGAGACTTTATGCCCAGTAGCTATAACAGTAACATCAACTGAAACGTGTTATTAACTGAAACTAGATACGATTCCACTCAGTCTATTCTTTTTCTTTTTTCTCAAACATTATATTATCTCCAAAAGCTTAAGGAAAATCTTAAGGCAATTAATTTGGCAGAAAACATATGGCAGAGGAATCATAGGAAATGGCTCTGAAACTGATAAGAAAGGAATTAGGAAGCCAAATATGAAGGAACGGAACAGCTCATAGAACCCACAGCACCCTGTTCCAGCTGAGGTAAATGGACTGCACAAGGCTGGCGGCCTGGCCCTGGTAACACTGGGGAAACCGTACAAAATCCTGGCAGTTAAAGGGTTCTACAACAGGGCAACCTCAGATTTTTCAAAACTGTGGCATGCTCAAATTCTTTTTTTGGTAATAAAAATATATCCACAGTATATAATAAAAATATACAGACAGTACAAGTATTGAGGAAGATGAAAGAGATAGCATGAAATCAAGTTAGTGTCATTATTTCCAGAAAGAGGAAAACCAATCCCTGAATTCTGAGAAATAAGATCCTTAGGCCACTATGTAAAGTTTCTTCTACAGGACCCTGGAGTCTCTACCCTTTGCATAGGGTAGAAAATCAGAGACTCATGCATTTGAATAAAAATCACAATGATAAAGAGGAAAACGGCATTTTCAAAGATGAAAACTGGTTGAGAAATCATTCTCTCTAAATCTTAGAGGGAGGCTCTTAAGAGCTAGCTTCAGTTTGTATCTCAGGTATCAGGAGATGGGTGTGACTTCAGAGGCCCAAAGTGAGTATTTACTGGTTTGCTAATGAAAAAAGCCTGATGTGTGGTTCTTCTTCTATGGCAACAAAGTTATTCAACCTAGCATTGAGGTCTGCATCCATGAAATAATACTTTACAGATATGAGCACTTCTACAAGTCCTCAAGCGCGCGCACACACACACGCCCCGCACCATCACCATCTCCTCAACCAACACCAGCCCTGGGCATGGCCAGCTATCCTTGTTAGTCATATTCTGCAGGACATAATCCTTCCCTTATACTTTCTAGGAATTATATTTTTCTTAACCATGCCTGCAAAATTTTCGTCTATGAATAAACAATATTGAAAAGATAAATGATGAGTATGTGGTCATATACAAAGTCTGTGACTTCTAATGTCCAGATTTTAGAATGACACCTAATTCTGGAGATCTCAGGGGTCCAGGTAGGAGTGGGTACCATGTACAGGGCGGGCCTCCATTTAAAAATAACCTTCTGAAGAGCTCTCTGTTTTTGTAGCGCCCCTTTCCTTATTTTAAGGGTCAAAATGAGGTGTGTTCCCTTAAAAAATCCAACAACAAGTTCCTTTCTTCTATCTAAATATAAAAACACCACAAAGAAATGTGCCATTGGGAGTGTCCAAAGCCAGAAAGTCAGAGAGAGAGAGAGAGAGAGAGAGAGAGAGAGAGAGAGAGAGAGACTGACTATTGGGAGACTCAAAAAGCCCAAAGCCCCTTCTCTAGCTGTTATCTCAGTTATGAACACAATGTACTGATTTTCCGTGGGAACCTCATTATTGCATTGTGGGGACTTCGTCTTCCAGCACCGATTCTGACGGACCTAATTGCTTTGTTTGAGAAATGTTAGGAAAAAACTAATTTTCCGGCGAATATTGTTTAAAAGAATGATTTTCGCAGGCTAACGACCACAACCCTCTCCCACGTCCAGCGTCCCCAGGCCCTGGCACTGCGAGCGCCTAAGTTTTTAATTGTCCAAGGAAAACGACTGATGGAACTTCTCCACAAACAGCCTCTCCACTTCCATCCAGGTATTCAGCTTCCAGCCCGTTGTAAACGCTCCGGGTGCGGTGGAAAGGCCTCCTCCGCGTCCCTGCAGCGGCTCTGGGGGAGGGGTGCTGATGTGGAGCGCTCGGGCCGCCGCGGCGCGCCCAGGTTCCCGTCGCGCCTGGGATCGGTGGGGATTTTGTCGGAAAGGTGGGTCCTTAGGCCCCCAGCCCCCCACCCGGGTTCTGCGTCCGCCCGGGCCCGCCGCTCACCTCGGTCGGCTGAGGGCGCTGGGGCCACCGGCATCCTGGCGGGTGGCGCGCGGCGGTGCCGGGGCGCCCGCTCCTGCGCTCCAGTGCCAGCTGGGCTGGGAAGCCCGGCAGTCTCGGGGCTCGCGACGTCGTTCCCGGGCCTGGGGTCCTGCTCGGTCGCGTCCTGCCGCCGCCTTCGGGTCCCTGAGTCCTTGTTCCCTGTCCCCGGAACCGGCTTTCTCGGCCTCTGCCCGAGCTAGTCAGAGACCAAACTTTTCCAGCTGCCCGCCGGGGCGGGACCCACGCTCCGCCCCTCCCGTCGCCGCCCCCAACTCCCGCCCCTCGCCCCCGCCCCCCGCCCCCGAACCCGGCACTCCTCCAGCTCCCCACCTCCGGCTCAAGCCGCCTGGTCTGCGGGCGCCCAGCCCGCCCCTAGCCTGGACCCCTTCTCCCCGACCCCGCCAATCCCCTAGGCTCCTGCTCGCCCTTCGGCCCCTGTCCCCAGGCCGGCCTCTAGACCCTGCCCTCATCGGGCGAGCCCCAGGTGCCGACCCTGGGCGCCCAGCGATCCGGCGGGAACAGGCTCGGAACCGGGTCGGAGGTCTGGGCTTGGGCGGGCGCCTGCTGCGCTGACAGCGAGAGTTTGTTTGGGCCGATTCTTGATAGAATTAGTACTATCATTATCGTTGGTCCCGATCCTGACCATTTCCTTTTGTAACTGGCCAACCACCGGCTTGGGCTTGTAGGTGGGCGGCTGGCGCCGGACAGCGTTTTTGTTTGGGCTTCCTCCTTCTCCGCACTGGTCCCCTCCGGCGCCTGCCTGGTCCCTCTCCGCGCTCTACCCCCAGGCACGCAGAGACCTGGGCTCCAGGCGGGGGCGGCACTCTCCGCTAGCCCCGCTGGTGCACCAGCGCCCACTCCGGCACAGAGCAGCGCCCCTCCTAGACCGGCAGCCGGCGGATCTCAGCCCCCACGCGACCCCCTCCTCACACGGATTTGCCCCTTTTGTGTGGCAATAATAATAATAATAATAATACATCCATATGAAGGCTTCAAAGAGAAGAATTCCCAGAGAAGGAACTGCCACATTTTCAATCAATGGCAAAGGCCATGATTGAGCGAATACAGAAACAACCTTAGAAGCTTGGGGAGAAAGGAAAAAAGTAAAGAAAAAGGAGGAAGAGGAAAAGGAGAGAGGAGAGAAGCGGGAGGAAAAAGACGAAAAAGGAAGGAGAGGCCTGTCGTCCGACTGCACATTCCTGGGCCGGCAGGATTGGGGCCGCAGGGGCCGCTGCAGAGAGTTGAGGATTCTTTGTGCAAAGGCCGCTGGTTACTTTCTGTCTTTTGCCCTCTTGCCTCCAGAGGCTGAGCCCAGCGCATCCTGCCCTTGGAGCAGGGTGCATATGCTTATTTGGGGTGCAGTTTGAGCGGTGAAGGGCACTAAGAGTGGAAGTCGGGGGCACTCCTGTTCCCTGCAGAGAAACGCAAGCCCTCAGCAACTGACCTGAAGCAGGCAAGTGACTCTGCCTGCTGAGGCTGCCGGCCCTAGAGGCTCTGGCCCTCAGGAGCTGGGGGACTTCCCAGCGTTTCGCCTATGCCTGTGTTACTCTGGAGTCTCCTGGCACTGCAGCCTTCCAACTTGTTCGGAGTGTCTGGTGTACGGCTCTGAGAAGCCACTTCTGTCCCAAGTTTCATGTGGGCCTGAATGTGCTTCCCTTTGTTGGACTCCTACAGCATCAAGTCAAGAAAAGAAGGGAACATGGTCCTTTGGCGTTGGTCCCAGCCGGGATAACAATGCAGCATACTGTGACCACTGTGTCTACACTTACCAAAACGGTCAATAGGTTCATGAACACATCTGTTCAATTAGTTGCTTCCCATGATGAAAACGTTACTGCTAGGGTACTGGCTGAGGGTTGTTTTAACCGGCACCCAAGTCTCCATTCCTAGAGCAAGTCAGTTACCCTGATATAATAGAGCAACCTTGAGGTGTGGTGAGGCCTCCAAAACTAATCTCCGGAATTGGAGCCCAGAAGCCCTGAGGAGTGATGTGGCTCTCATGCTTTATGGCGGGTTTCCCTAAGAGAGACCCGGGATCTGACCCATGGCATCACTGAAATTCCTCTTTCAGTGAGGCTCCATTTCCCTAAAGATCCCTGTCCTCAATGGGTCTCCCCACACACGGGCCTCTCACTCACCCACTGCCCCACCTCCATCTGCTGTCCTCTTCCTGGGCCTTAAAGCTCAGACACTAGACTCTGACAAGGAGTCCTCCATGCCCCCGTAGAAACCATCTTCTCTCACCACTCCTCTCGAGAGAAACAGCCCTCCCTACGGTTCTGTTGAATAAGTCTCCCCCTCTGCATCCTGGTTCACAAGTGAAAGCAATTTAACAGAAGAATGCCAGCTGATAAACGTAGAAATGGGAGAATGAGGAAATCCCCATTCTGTAACCCTTAATGAAATAATTAAGTCAGGCAGTGTGCACTAGTGGGTGTCAAACCCTTAGGTGAAAGTGTGCAGGTGAACTGGTGCTAATTGGAAAAAAAAAAAAAAAGGTTTTCCATTTTCCATTTTTTTATGGAGACATCTGGCTGTATCTTAAAGGAAGATCAAACTCACTGTCACTAATACTGGCTCAACCTGGCATTATGTGATGCAAAAGAAACACACAACATCACTGTTGCTGTGTGCTTGCCAAAGATGCTTCAATTGAATCAATTGCAAAGCCTCTAGACTTTACTGCAAGTTTACAGGAAATGGAAGAGCTTGAGCAATGAGTTAAATGACACCATGGGAAACAACCGGACTGCCAGAGTGTGGGCGTTCTGCAGTCAGTGGCCTGATCTCTTCCAAAACAATCAATGTCAAGAAAAAGGGTGAGGGATTCTTCTGGTATAAGAGCAGCTGAAAAGAAGAAGTATAACAATAAGTACAAATGTGGATTGACTCCCAGCCAGACAAATCAGTGTGCGCGCACACACACACACACACACACACACAAACATTTTGCAGGAAATTACAAATTGGAGGGGATATTGAATGATATTATAGAATTATTGTTAATGTTTTTAAGTGTGATAATAGTATAATGTTTAGGAGAATGGCTTTAATTTTAGGAGGTGCTGTTGAAGTATTAAAGAGTAAAATGTCTTCATGTCTAAAATTTAAATTGTTCAGCACAGTACGTGCACATAAGCTGATATGACAAAAGGTTGGTGATTATTGGTTCTAGCTGGTGGATACAGGAAAGGGGTTGTACAATCTGTTCTCTTTCTTTGTATCTTGGAAAAAAGTTGGAGAAAAATAAAATGGCAGGTACTAAACAACTAAAAAATTTCTCTACCTTTGCGCTCAGACTTTAAATCAAATCTAGGCTTATGGGAATAAAATTAAAAGATACTATAAGTTATATCTGTATACTTTTGAAAATCATGTGGCTGCAAACTTAAATATGATTTGAATAAAGGTATTACATATCATAATTATGTAATATAACCTTACATGCTTTTTAATTAAAAAAATGAAATACATTCACTTTCCCAAAAAAATTAGTGTCCACAGCCTGGTGAGCAGGTACAGTATGGTCAAAGGACATGCAGTTTTAAGATTTGAACTCAAAGTGAGCGCTTCCTCCAGCACAACCAGTGCCCTGCAGGAGAGCAGAATTGTCTCAGAAGAGCTGAGTAAATGCACCTCCTTTCTCCCTCCCTTCTGCCCTCCCAGCCTCTGCTTCCAGGATCCCAGGGTGCCTCCCCAAGTTTCTGGGTCTGAGTTAGTCTGCACTCTCTCTACTCTTAGCTCTGTTTAGCACAAAGGCTGCAACAGACAGTCCATATCTGAGTCAATGTGCACGCATGCTATTTTTTTTGTTTGTCTGAGCCCTCTTTTCAGGAAAATGTGTGTTGGTCACAGTTTGCACACATGAGCTTGACCCCTCGAGTCCTGAAGGTTTCCAGAGGAGGAGTGCCCCCTGCAAGGTGGGGTCTAATAGATAGTTATGATGGTTAATTACATGTGTCAACTTGACTGGGGCATGGGGTGCCCAGATATGTGGTCCGACATTATTCCGAATGTGTCTGTGAGGGGGTTTCTGGATGAGATTGACATGTGAGTCAGTAGACTGAGGAAAGCAGATGGCCCTGCCTACTGTGGGTGGGCCTCACCCAATTAGTTGAGGGCCTGAGTAGCCTGTTATTGAAGACAAAAAGCCAACACTCTCCCTTGTTAGAAGTCTCTCATTAGGAGAATCCTCTTAGAACTGGAACTGGAAACTTGGATCTGTAGACATTGGATGTGTCAGCCTCCATAACTGCGTGGGCCAATTCCTTATAATAAAGCCTTTGTGTATGCTATAGGTATACCTCCGGTGGATTCCGTTTCTCTGGAAAGCCCTGACTGATGCAGTGGCCCCAGGCAAAGGGCAGAACCTCACAGATATGGCCAGAAGGGAGCCATATCTGTGGTAGAAGGGAGCGTGGGGCTACACTGGGGACAAGCGGCTTGTGGTCAGTCCATCTGTGCCTCGCCAGATATCTCAGAGCCATTTCTTCTCTGTCGCCTTGCTCTACGCAGAACTTGGGGGAAATTGCTTTAAAATATTGACCCCAATGTGGATTTGTAGAATGAAACTTGGCTTTTTTTTTTTTTTTTTTTTTTTTTTGCAATAACCCTGTCTTGACCCAAATGAAGCCTTTGACTTACTGCCAGAGCCCTTTAGGGAGGCGTGTTCATTTGGTGACAGAGATGTCTACCAATGCCAAGTCTCAGCACTTCAACTGTGGCTCCACGGTGGTTACATCACTGTGTCCCCATCATTAAACCCTTAATGTGTCCCCATCTCCAACCTCATGGTTAGCCAGCAGGAATCATCAGAAGCTTCAGGAATTGTTCCTTTTTTTTTTTTTTTTGAGATGGAGTCTCGCTCTGTCGCCCAGGCTGGGGTGCAATGGTGCGATCTCGGCTCACTGCAACCTCCACCTCCCGGGTTCAAGTGATTCT